TATATTTCCTCTTTCACACAAAATGTTCTTGTTTCCTATCTTTGCTCAACAGACAGAGTATTCCTGATTCTCAAATATTTTGGTTCACTGACTAATGTACTGAACCAGGGAAACATGTATAACATACATGCAATGCTTCCTCTCTCTCTCTCCCAGCTGTGGCTCAATTACTTATTATAGGAAAGATTCTGTCTTATTTTCTAATTTTCCAAGCCAAAACTAATTAATTCTGAAGTGACAGATATAAGAATAGTACTTTTCATATATCTAGATCAATGGTTCCCAAAATGAGGCACATGCCTCACAGGGGGGCAATTTGATTTTTAAGGGGGGGCAATTCGAGAATGAGCTATTAACAGTGAATTTTTCACACTTCTTATGGTTCTAGGGGCCTCATATACAGTACATAAATATATATTGTGACATACTTATGCATTTCAGTTCTCTATTATGTTTTGAAACTTTATTTGCTATTTTTTCATATCACTTCATATTATTATTTAACAATTTCTTAGTAATTTCTTCCTCAGTACTTCAAATATCCTTACGTTCTTTTATTTTTCTCTTTCATGGATGCCATGTTCTTAGGAAGCTTGTTTAGACCAAGTGAATGGCCTTTTACGCTTCCTCCAAGTGAATAGGAGTTCACTTTTTTAATAATAATTAATTATATGTCACGGGCCGGGGGAAGCATCAGGATTTTAGAGATGCTTAGGTGGGGCATGGGCAAAAAAAAAAAAAGGTTGGGAACCACTGATCTAAATCAAGGCACATGAAATTAAGATATTTAACAGTATATTTTGTCAAAGAAGGCCATTTACTACTTCAGAAGACATAGGGTATCCATCTCCTTCTTTGTCACCTTCATCTAATTTCACTACTGTCATTGGGCACTAGAACACTATATGTAATATTATATCTATGGGGAAATAACTGAAGTTGAAACAAGCAACTTTTGAAAACTTGTAATTTTGTCTAAAGCTGGAATGGCAAGATAAATGGCATACTAGTATATCTTTCCTAATTCCTGTGATAGCTAGATCTTAATTAGGAACATAGGAAAGCTCAAGTAGTCAATGAAGGTGAACTGTGCCAGTTGTCAATCTATAGCTTCTCAACACTATCTTCCCACTACCCTGCTTATGCCAGCCAGGATAATTTTAAAGGGTGCTGATTTTTACTGTATTGATTTTAGAGAGAGAGGAGGGGGGATGGAGGGGGAAGAAATATAGAAAGAGGGAGAGAGAAACCATAATTTGTTGTTCTACTTATTTATGCATTCATTGGTTGAGTATTGCATGTGCCCTGCCTGACCAGGGATCAAATCCGCAACCTTGGCATTTCGGGACAATGCTCTAACCAACTGAACTACCTGGCCAGGGCAGAAGGATTCTTCTAACTGGTTCTCCTCTTATTTGGAGGCACATGGCACCCACTCATGGGCAGCTTCTCTCCAGATCTCTGATGGTGGCTTCACGCCGTCCCACCCCCATTGGCAGATTCCCAGTGAGTTCTGCAGGGCAGCACCTCCCTGGGGACCATTTCCCTCCAGCACCCAGAAGGCAGATTTCCACGAAGCAGTAGGACACAACCACAGCTTCTCCAGTGAGGTCTGATTCCAGCCTTGGGGATGGGGGACTGGGACCCTCTTCCAGATTCCTTCCTTCCTTGGATGCTGTGTTCCCCTATCTGCTACTCCTGTGTTCCTTATTTTCCTTACTCATGTAGTCAATCACACATTGTTTGTATTAAATTTTCCCTGTTCAATTATTGTGTAGCTTCTGGCTCCAGATTGCACCCTGGAAATACTGAAACACTATATGTAATATAATATCTATGGGAAAATAATTGAAGTTGAAACAAGCAACTTTTGAAAACTTGCAATTTCGTCTAAAGCTGGAATGGCAAGGTATTTTTAAAGTGCAATATAACTAAAGACTGGCTTCAGAAAAACTTTTAATTACTTGATATTTAATATTCCAAGTTGGCAGGCATTTCATTTTTTCCAACTTCTGCCTAACACAGTCAGTACTAAGTTCCACCAAGTAATCAAACCACATTTTTGAAGCAAAGACTCTATTGAACTTAAGTATCTGGATTCTTAATTTTGCCTATAAAAGCCATACCTAGAGTTATACTTAGTCTGATTACATGTTATTTAATTGGCATTTATTAAGTTAACAATGTGTCAAGCAGTTTGCTAAGTGTTAGAGACACAAAGAAAAATGAACCTAAGACCCTGCCCTCACACAGCTCATGCTCCCTGAGAGAGACAGAAGAAACAATACGATACAACCAGGTAAGAGAATAATAGAAACCTATGCAAAGGGAGAAAAAGCTAAAAGAGAAAAAAAATTATGAACTCTGTTGGGGAAGGTGACGTGGTTCACAGGGTAGAGATGACAGAACTATAATTTTATTTGGTCTGTGGGTTAAGTGAGGGGTAAAGTGAGAATAAAATACATTTCGGGAAAATAAAAGCACAGGATTAAAAAGCATAGAGGCATTTCACACCACGACCTTTTAAGGGAAAAAAAATTTTCATATTGCAGGAGCCTTAAATATAAGGGTGAGGGCAGCAACGGCTGGGCCAAGCAGACCAAGAGAGACCAGACAGCAAGATGCATGTGTGCCGCGCAAGGCATTGGTGCTCACTCTGGTGACCAGGAGTCAGTGATGTAGGCAACCAGGTACTGAAATGTTGAGACACATGAGTTAGAGAAATTACTGGCAGTAGCATCAAAGGTAAGAGCACAACTGACCAGAGCGGAGATTGGGATATGAATTATCAGAGGAGTAGAGTAGACGGGTGAGAAACAGTAAGGGCCTAATCTAGGGCAAAGGTCATGGGCTAGAGCAGTGGTTCTCAACCTTGGCTGCAGGTTAGAATCACCCAGAAATCTTTTTAAAATCCTGAAGGTGATTCTAATGTGCAGCCAAGGTTGAGAACCACTGGGCTAGAGAGAGAGGTAGAAACAAGAGAGCAGGCTAAGAGAATTAACAGATCTTGGTGATTTACAGAATGTGTAAAAGTAAGGCAGAAAAAACATTATGATTCACAGGTTTTTTAATGGAGTGCCTGGACTCTACTAACCTAAAATAAAGAACCAAATAATACAGGTAGAACAGTGTGTGTGTGTGTGTGTGTGTGTGTGTGTGTGTGTGTGTGAGTGATGTTTGTATATGGTGGTGGGTCATGGATAATTCCGTTTTGGTAGAGGTCAGCTTTGCAGACAAAATACAGTACAAATAAAAAAGAATCAAGAACAAGACTCTATGAAATACCTCCCTTTAAATGGCTGATAGAACAAGTAGATGGAGGGGAGGCCGGTGGTGCCAGGACACCAGAAGGAAAATTATGACATGTTGGCAATTAAGAGGAGGGGGGCGGGGGGAAGAGAGAAGAGAAAATGAAATGCCACAATAAAAATCACTTAAATTAACAAGAGAACGGGTTGATCTTCATCACCGCTAGGTCTCCTTTTGCAAAGAAGAGTTAGTGACATGGTGAAGAATGGGAGCCAACTGGCAGGAGGGAGAAGAGGACCAGTGGCAGTGAAGTTAAGACAGCAAATATAAATTGTTCTTTTAAAGTGCTTGAGTGAAAAAGGAAGCAAGATAGAGGAAGGCAGAGCTAGACCAGAAAATTACACATAGTCAATGGGGAAGACAAGTCAGTAAAAAGAGGCAGATTATGGTAGATGACAGAACATAATGCTGCAAGGTCACGTCTGAGATTAGTTCGTAAAAAATGGTGGGGCCTTCTCTCTCTCACCACTTGCCCTAGGGCAGTGGTCGGCAAACTCATTAGTCAACAGAGACAAATATCAACAGTACAATGATTGAAATTTCTTTTGAGAGCCAAATTTTTTAAACTTAAACTGTATAGGTAGGTACATTGTTATTCACTTAATTAGGGTACACCCAAGCTGGCCTTTGCGAAAAACGTCCTCAATCTGATTGAGGTAC